CTGGCCCTGGAGGACAGAAGAGGCAGGGTCGAGAGGCAAGATTTCGCTGGATCTGCCGCCAAGCACATAGGGTTCAGAGCACCTAGGACGGGGCAGGATGAGTAGTCTCGAGGCCTGGGGGGGCTGTCAAAGAATCAAAGACTTGGCCCCTATCTTTGAGAATGAAAGCTTCGTTTAAGATAAGGTGTATCTCAACCTGCCTAAATGAACCAAAGATGATACAAGACTTATATAATGGGGGCCAGGGTGTCACAAATGCCGTGAGTGGTCAGGAAAAAGGAAGAGAGAAGAAGATGGGGAGAAACAGGAGAAAAGATCAACTCCACCGCCCCACATTCAAGGCTGCTTCCTCGACTTCATCCATTAAATATTTGAGCACCTATCCTATGCCAGGCAAAGGAGGAAAACGTGGGACCTGTTAGACTCTTATATAAACACAAGTAACTTAGGAAGGAAAATAGCTGAGAAAGTAGAAGGAAAGTAAATCATTCAACCATGTAGGGTGGGGACAAAGAAAAGAATAACCAATAATCTTAAGAACTGGCACTTATTAAGCTCTGACTATGTGCTACACATGATCTTAAACACTCTTGATGTAAGACACATGTTCAATCCCCACAACTACCCTTTGAAAGAGGTGCTATTATAAAATTCACTTGGCAGATGAAAACGCAGAAGCCCAGAGTAACAGTATTTTACCCAAGGTAGAGCTGGATTGCAAACTTAAACTATTTGATTTTAGAGCTCCCGAAGTTCCCCAAAACAGAAAAGGGAAGGAGGGCCATTTCCCAGACCCTTTTTTGCACGTGCTAAAAATGGGTTGCTCTTGGCAGAGTCAAAGATATCACTAGGGAATACCCTACCAAATAGGACTGGGTTTCCCATCCTTCGAGGCTACCAAGATTTAAGGAAGTCTTGCATTTCCTATAACTCCTTAGAAACAAGGGCAAGAATGGCTTGGCCATCTCTGCATCCTCCCTATCCCAAGAGGCACACACAGTACCACCCACACCTTTCGGGCTCAGTTCAACCACTCCCTCTGTTTGCCTTCCCTGACCACCTTCAGTGCCAGTGGTTCTTCCCCCATCCCGAATTTTCCAAAGTCCTACAGTTTCTATTTTTTGCACCACGTCCCAGCTCTTGGCACTGACTGTCTGTCTTTTAAGTATCTATGCCTTCACTTCATCTCTAGCTCTTTCATTGCATAAGGTAGAAAAATAAAGGCAAAGTTCCATACTCTTGAACATAGGAGGCGCTCAAAACCACATCTGTCCAACAAGGAAGTAGGTCTCATATAGACACTTAAACACACGAGGAGCTGTGAGATGGATCAAGCCGGACTAACAGACACCTCAGGGGGTGTTACTACCAGTAGCGAGAACCCCTAAGTCAGCAGTTCTCAGTGTGAGGTGTCTGGACCAGCAGCGGCAACAGCACTTGGGAAATTGGGGTGGGGGTGGACAGGCGTGATAACAATTATTGTTAGATTTTACAGTGTTTCAAGAAAAGCAAGGCAGTGCCGTCCTCAGACCTGCGTGGGCTTACGCCTGGATCAGAGCCTAAGAGGGCCCCTCTTGTCCCTTCGATGATTGTCCCACCCACATCCCTACTCCCCATTCTAAACCCATCTAGGTACCCACACCTGGGAATTCCCTGCCCAAATAGTCTTATGAGAGACCTGGGACTGCACACCCCGTCCAGCAGAGTTGCCAAATAAAACACAAGATAGCCAGTTAAATTTAAATCATTTTAAAGTTTATGTCCCAAATACTGCATTATTCATGTTTATCTGAAATCCAAATTTAACTCAGCATCCTGTATTTTCATTTGCTAAATCTGGCAACGCTACCTCCCAGGCCTGTCTTCTTGAGACGCACTGCTGGCTGAGGACTGACTATAATAGGGCAGGGAGAAGCCCGCGGGCACGGGGGCTGAGCTGTCCACGTACATGCTATCAGTCTTCTCTCAGGGATGCAGGATGGAGCTGAGGATGGGACAAAAAGAGCAGCGGGCCACAGGCCAGAGGCTTCTACCAGAATTGTTAGGGGCAGGCCCGAAATGGAAAATGAACTCTGTAGGCATAACCTCCCAATTTTCAAATCTTTGACATATATTTAAAAGAATTCTGAATTCCTTTAAAACACCATTCAGAGTAAACAAAGTACCTTTGTACAAGGGAATTCCTACTGTTGCTAATGGCTGTTACTGCTGTGCCCCACGCCCACACTTCGACAAAGCCCGATTAGATACAAGGCCTTAACCACAGACAGACCCGTGGGACAGGGAGCACACAGCAGCACAGGTGTGTGATAGACACACATAGTTTGGAGAGAAAGGCCTCCTGGTCAACCTGCCGTAGGGGGTACCCATTCTGAGCTGGCGCTGACCGGTCCTGCAGGAGGGTAGAAGGAAATCAACACAAGTGGTAGAATGAGCTGAGGTCACGGACACAAAAGAGATGCCGCTCACCTTTTAGTCTAAATTCCTCATTTTGCAGGAGATGAATGGGAGCTACATTCAGAGAAGCAAGATGAGTTTGCCCAAACCCAGCTACGGATTCCGAGTCCAATATTCTTTCTGCTACACTGTCTTCGAGAATCTCTTATGGAAGGCAAGGGACATTTTTCCTTTCCCACAATCTTGGAGCAACAGGAAACTTACTTAAAAACTGTGCTTCAAAGAAAAGAGGAGGGGGAAGAAAGGGAAAAGAAAGAAGTCTTTACCTACTTCCAAAAAGTAAGAAGCAAACCACTCTGAGAATATACAGACACGCTCTAAACCAAGAGTGTGATGAGGGCCTACAAATTGTTACTTATGTGGGGCCTCTTCTTTGCTTGAGATTAGATGCTAAATATAGAACCAGAGAGCCCCCGCAAAGATCTCCGTGGTCCTTAGCCAACTCAGGTGCCCAACCTCTTGGTTCTCCCCCATTCACCAGGAGGCCCCAGGTGGCACAGGCCAAGGAGTAAGACAAATTGCTGAGGCCGGCAGAAGGCCATTCCAGTGAGACTGACCTGAACTGGATAAAATATTGCCTGCAGGGTGGGGAGAGTCTCAGTGAAGAAGTGGTCCCAGACTTCAGCCAGAACCTCAATGCGATTTTCACCTACACGAGGGCGAGAAGATGGGAGGAGAGAAAGAAAGAAAAGAACTTGTCATTACTTGCAGGAAAGGCCAGAAGACAGTTCCATGTCAAATGAATCACGGGGAAGGGGCGGGGGCGGGGGCCGTGCAGCCAAAGGAAGCTCAATATCTACATTTGTTTGATCTGTAAGGTGTTACTACAGTAAATATGGAATTGGATGAGAAGACGCAGCTGAAAATATGCCCGCTATCCCCCAATCCAGAAAAGGAAGCTGAATTTTGAAAATCACATAATTGCTATCATCACAAGAATGGCTACAACATCATCAGTCATTGCGCTAAACTACTTATCTGTAAGACATCTCATGAGTAGACTACTATCCCAGTTTACAGGCTCAGAGAGGTCGAGTATCTGGCTCAGAGTCACATAGCTAGAAGTCAGAGCTGGGATTCCAGGACCCATGCTCTTGACCAACATAATCCAGGAAGATCACGTGCATAGTTATATATTGGTTTCGTTTTTTTTTTAAATCACTAAGACACTCGCTTTTTATTCTGGATTTGAGCTGTCAGTTGAGGGAGGTGGAAAGACAGCCTGGAAACTTGTCACCTCTACCCACTTCTTTATAGTAACAGCGAGGGCAGCCTTCTCTGACATGGTACCTGCAAAACACAGGACCCATCTCCCGACGTGGTGCTTAGGATCAGGCACCTCTAGGATCAGGAGCCATGGCTAAGCGTCACCCTCAGGCTAGATGTGCAGGGGTCATCTAGCCTGATGACCCTAGAAGGCTGTGTGCGGGACTCTGCAGCAGCGGGAAAGGTAGGCGCCGGCAGAGAGGGGCCCGCAGGGTGGCTCCTGTTTAATGACCTAGATAACAGAGCTGATCGGGCTCTGTGCTCATCTGAGGCAGAGAAACTGGGTCAGCATAGATCAGACACTGAGAAACGCATCTGGCAGAACAGTGTCAGTTCCGCTGAATGGACATAGAAAGATTCATTTAGCATCTCCTGTTAATTTAATGGACAATAAAAGCAGTGGCTGGGAGAGAGAACAGAGCAAGGGCATGACTAGCAGATTTTGAAAGATCAGAGTAAAATACACTGGGGGAAAGGGCAAACCCATAGCACTCTCTACTTTCCCCCATAAAACGCTAATGGCACTTTGTTGGAATTGCTTATTTTACTCCTCTGTCTCCACTAGAATGGCAGTGAGTGCATGAGCCCTGTCTGTCCTGCTCATCGTTACATCTCTAGTGCTTAGCACAGTGTCAGACACATTGCTAAATAAATTTTTAGAGATCTCTGAGTGAATAAATGACATGTATTAAATGTACAGGTTTTTGCAGATGCTAGTGCTGGTGAGTGGAAGTAGGTTACCATTTAATGCAAATACGGGACAGGACAGAGCAGGACTTACCAGTTAGTTCTAACACGCTCCTTTGTTTAGATAATGAAAACCTCCATAATGTGGGCAAACTGGCCAGTGAGAGTCTGTTTCCTTCTATGTCTTCATCTTACTCCGTGTTCCCCTCAGCCTTTGGGACCTCAACATGTGAATTTTATTTCAGTCCCTCACACTCACCATGCTTATCCGTGCCACAGGGCCTTTTCACGTGCTAGTCCCTTTGCCCAGACTGTAATTTGCCTCCCCTCTTTGCCAACCTAAATCTGTTTATCTTTCTAGTTTCAGCTCCAGTATCGCTTCCACAGGAAAGTCTCCCCATTGGTCAAATCCTCCTACTGTGGATGGTATTCTTAGTATGTGTCCTGTTTGCAGTTTTATACTAGGTGATGATTTGATTGATATCTGTCTCCACTACCAGGTTTCAAGCTCCACAAGGGCCTTTACTTCTATGATGGTTCTGTTCAACTTTGCTAGGTGTCCCCAGCATCTAGCAAAGTACCTGATATATAGTAGATAATAAATGTTTGAATGAATCATTCACCATCCTGTTTTCAAACATAGGCTATGCTAGTTCACTTCAGGGAGGAGTTGAGAGAGTCAAAAGGACCATCTGAAATGTTAGGTCATCCTGAGACCTCAAACTAAGGTGAACCCCGACACTTGGATAATGTACCTCAAAGGAGAAAAGGCTCTTCCAGCTCCTTTATTGATGGCCCTTAGCCTAAGCCTTCTATTACAAAGATAAGCAGAGGCCCTCTGGGCCTGAAGGAAGGGAAGGAGAATCCTGCAGGGCAGTTCTGATGCCTATGTGCTCCTCTTCACTACCAAGACAGAAAGATCATTGGCACATGAGGTAATTCTTCAACCGGGCAGCAAGGAGGCGCCTCTCCTGGGAACCGAGGTCTAATTGCTGGCTGCAAACTTCAGAGAGTAATGAAGGTTTTGGAACATGTTCAGAGAAGAACGTCAGACAGACACAGACTAACAAAACAGGGTAACCCCAGGGAAGAAAGAGTTAAAGGAAAGAGATGACTTCACCTCTAGAGGCAGCCCACAAGTCAAAGATGAAGCTCCCTGCAAAGATGAGGGAGGTTTGGATGGAAGGTTCTAGATGACTATCTTATAAAACTCCACTAATGTGCCATGAGAGTTTAGATCACTAGAAGTATATAGAATAGGTATGAGAAACTTCTTTAAAGTCAAGGTCACTAAAGCTATAGAAAAAATGACTGAGAGTCACATGGTATGTCCCACAAAAGAGCAACACATGGATATGAGCTGCCTCTGCCTTTTCTGCAGCCATAAAGGTGGGGCGGGGTGGTGGGGGGAGTATGTGTATCAGCAAACAGGTCAATAAAGTTTGCTCAGCGATAGGATGGATCATATCAGTTGTTTCCAAACTAGATTTTATAGCAACAGAATGCTTTTATCTAAACAAAATCTTTCTTGGAGCTGTAATACACAAAATAAAGTACTAATGTTCTGGCTAAAGATGTGAAAGACCCTTAAAGGTTCCCTACATGCGCCTCCACTGTGCACAAAGGGCCCCCACATCCCAGAACTAGAGGGATTCAGAGAGAACACCCGGCCCACACGCTCCAGCCACATCTGGGGGCTGAGGCACAGAATCTTGGATGACCCCTGTTTCCCCATCTAGCTCCATTTCTGAGTTTTCGCTCTGAATGTACCTATGTTGCGTGTCACTTGAGTGAGAGACATTCCACTTTCCTTTTTCAGGGCATTCGAATCTCTGGTTTTGCTCAGTATCTTTTTCATAAAGCTGATTTTTTTCCACATTTCCAGGAACATGTAATAATTGCCCAAATGACTTACAGACAAATCATGTAGCCAGAGACCAAGTTTCCTTTTCTTCCCTTTCTTAGGCCACCACCTTCTACATCTGTGTACTAGCCTGCCACCAAAATGCAAAAGGGCCACTTAGTTCTCACCAAAGCAAGTTACTTACAAATAAGGCCTTGGGTTAGTGGATACTTAGAAGGTTGGAAAATCTTAGCATAGATATATTCCAAGGAAACAAGATTACAGGTTCAGTCAGCTCTCAAATAGAGGTTAATTTCTAACCTTTATTCTCCCAAAGGTTTGGTGAGCACTTACTGTATGCTGCTGAACTTTCCAGGGTCGGTTTCTCATTTTTCTTCCGACTTTGTCTTTCTAGAAGCCACTTCACTAGACGCCAGTCTCTTTCCCAGGGAATGGAGTTAAAAAGGGATGACCTAATGCCTGTTAAGTCTCAGTCTAGAAGTAAGTTTGACCTACAGATAGAGGTCTCTAGGCTAGAGTAGAAAAAAATAAAGACAGAACCAGTTTGCATACCTACTACGTGCTGGGTACGGTGCTATGTCACTTATACACTTTACCCTCCCTATAATCCCTACCCCCATTTGATTATTTTAAAGATGATAAAAACCAAGACTCAGAGAAACTAGAAACTTGACCAAAGTCACTGAAGAAGTTAGGCGGCAGCTAAGATCAGGATCCACTTGGATGAGAGCTGACAGGAGCCCCTGATAGACTCATGGGGTTGGCTGATTCTGGCCTCTGGTCCCATCTCCCATCTCCACTCACTGCCTTTTTATCTTGTCGTATGGGCCCTAAGATCTTTTAAAGCCAGAACATTTTCCTTTGCCTATCAAATCATATACCCTTAAGTGGGTGTCTGCTTAGCCTAATGTTTCCCAAATGCACAGGCCTCCTGTCATGTATGACCACGAGAATATGACAGAGGCCAGTAGGAAATAGCCTGGATCCGAATGGACCAGAGGGAACACCATGGCAGGATCTGCAGTATAATTTATCCCTATGAAGGAGACCACCAGCACATATCCCATGGTGGAGGGAGGGGAGAACTCTTAATGAGGTCCCCAAAAAGACCACCCCAATTCCACTTCATTTTTCAAAACACAGTTCTAACTTGCAATGCCATGAATGGCCGACTCAAATCGAAATGCTGCCGCCTAGGTGGAGAAGAAACCGACAGGGTGAATCAGCCACTTGGAGCCGGCCGCTTTTGGACAGAAGCACTTCAGCTCCCCAAACATCAAAGGCTGAGTCACAGGGACCCCGTTCTGTGAGGGCAGCCTTGTACTTGCCTTCACACAGCTTAATCTTCTCCTCCACAAACAGCAGTCCTTTTGCAAGAAGCTGGTTCTGCCAAAAGAGAACAAAAAAGCACAAGAGTTGGGCCAGTTCACAGCTGACAACCCTCTTCCACTTCCAGCAGGAGAGAGCACGGAGCTCTGGGCGCTCGCATGCTCGTCATGCCTCCAAGTGGAAGAAGACGTTTGTCCTCTTGGAAGGCCAGCTTCAGAAGACAGTGAGACATCCCATAGGAAAAGAGTGAGACAAGAACCAAACCCAGCACTCACCCCCGTCCCCGCAACCATGGAAGAGGCATGCCACAAGCTTGGCTGAATTCTGTGGATGGACATTGACACCTGATATCTTCCAAGCCCTTAATCTAAACTCAGAAGTAAAAGCGCTGAGGAGATGGGAAATTATACAGAAATAATAGATTTTTTTTTTAAAAAAGAGATAAATTTAGGGTTCCTCTCACTGGCTTGTAAGAGATTGCATGCAAAACCTTAAGCAGCAGTGAGTGTGTGTCAGCCAGGGGGCCTGTGCACAGGAAAATTATGGGAATGGTAAGATTAAGTCTTTTTGCAACTGCAACTCACGATTGTTAAGCATTCTGTGTATATCTGAGGGTTTATATCCTTCATCTCATTTAATCCCAAACCTCCCAATAATCCTATCAGGTCGATGCCATTACCCTTACTTTAGTGATGCTCAGTGAAGAGTTTTGCTCACAGGAGACAGAGCAGGTCTTCGCAACTCCAGAAGCCATGTTCTTTCCATACTCCTTTGCTGCCTTCTGGCAAGTCTTCCCACCCAGACCCCTTCCTTCCCTTGAAAGGCTACATCTGGTCCCATAAGGCACAGAGCAGCCTCTCTGCGAGTCACAGAAGCTCACAGAGCACGAGTGGGCTGGTGCCTCTTCACTCACCTCACACTGTTAGATTATCATTACCATAGGCCTATGCTTATGGGGTAGGGAGGCTGAAGGTGATATATACCCTACAAAAATATTCTATGCATTTCTTAACCCTGTTACACAGTGCTGAACAGAGCATGCATGGTCGAGTGGAAACAACTGGGTATCAGACAGGGGAGAGGGGTTCAAGTCCCAGTTCAGCCACATTCTAGCTGTGTGATCTTGAACTTAATTTCCCTGAATCTTGAGTTCCTCATCTGTAAAATGGTATCATACCAACAATATCACAAAGTTCTTAAAAGAATTAGTCATTGTAACCACACACAGTATTTTATGTCCTCGGTGATCAGTGGTCATGGGTACTGATGATGATAGCTACTCTCTTTGCCTAACTCTCTTCATAAAAGGAGTGGGAGGTAGAACCTGTAATGAATGGGCCTACATCAAAAATATTAAAATATTTCATCAAAGGTACTGTCACATTTCTGTGACTAATACACATACAGCAAATTTCATAGGCCCTACTAAAATTCACAAGATATGATCTACTTTTAAATAATGGTCATCATTTAGTTTCAAGATGGCAGACGGAACCTCAAATCAAAGTGAGAATGGCATCTCACAGGAGTACACTAACTTGGTTAAAGAAAAAAAATCAATTCCTTTACAAAGAATTATGGAATGGACAAGTAATTAAGGTGGAACCCTGTGTTTTCTACCATCTGGCCAAGCAAATGAATTCCAGCAGCTTCTGGCTCAGAAAGCAAGAAAACACCACAGCATCAAATTTAGACTATCAAAATCAAGACGTCGAGAGTTCCTAAGTCTGTTGACATTTTCTGCATTTGACAAAAATCACTTTGTATGTTTCTTAAGGGGTAAGCTTTAAAAAATGGCCTAGGCTCTCCTTCCTTCTCCTTTCTAGTTCTTCCTACTTCAAGGAGACATTTGGGAAAATTTTTTTTTTTTCAAAGAAAAGGAGATATTTGTGTATTATGGAGAAATAAAAAAGAAAACATTCTTTTTAAAGTTCTCATGATACACAGCATCGAAATTCTATAGCTTGGACCAAAGTAAGAGTAATGAAAACTTGGGGTTAAAAGGGGCCTTACTGATCATCTAGTCCTTCTCCCCTCTTCCCAGTCCTGTGGTCAAAATTAAATGGTTCACTCACAGTTTTGATGATACTTGAGTGGACCCATTTTCCAGGGAGCTACAGTACCTTTCAAAAGCATCTTGAAAATTCTTAAGACTCCTGGGATTTTGTAGATTTTGTTCTTATTTTACAGGTGAATAAACTATGGCTAGAAGTGGGGTCTCTGTCTCTTATTGATGGAGCACAAGCTGTAAGAGAAGGATCTTTTGGGTCAGCTTAGCCCACAGCCCCATCATCTACTCAATGGAGCTGTGCCCCATCTTGCATGCTCAAACCCTTAACTATGACCTGCCTTTCCACTCTTAGCTGATTGGCCTGGTTCCTGCCTGCTACCTGACCTGGTTCTCAAACAGAGCCAATAATCTTCCCTCCTAGGAATCTACAGTCACTATGTTCCAAAAGGTCCTGCATTCCTAAGGGCCTTGCACGTGGGGTTTAATGTTCTGCAGCTGCCATCTTCACTTCTTAGTACCTTTGACTTTGTGTTTTGTAAGTAAAGTCTGATGGGGCAAGAGAACATGCACTGGGGGCTTGAGGCCTCAGTTTACTTGTGGGCATGCCTCCCACCACCTCAGGCACCTGCTCCACTCCCCCTGATGCCTGGCTCTGTGGGGTCTCCCCGACCTTGGCCTACTACTGCAGTCATCCTAATCCCAAGGTGGTGACAGGGTTGTGTCGGTGGGGGTCCAGGCACTAGTGTGTATGTGGGGGAAGGGTTTGGGCATGAGCCCTGAGCATCCTGGGGAAAGGCGTGGCACAGCCCTCCCTACCCTGGACTGAGAGTGCCCTGGTGCACGTGCTGGTCACTCAGTAGGGGTCTCTCGACCACCCAATCTATGTACCCAGACTGTGGAGGTTACACTCTCCTGGAGGTTTCCTGTTCACCATGGGGGGTGGCAGCAGGCCCATGGGAAGGGGCCACGTTTTCATTTTACACTGGGCCCTGCAAATTATGAAGCCTGTCGCTGGTCACTTCACCTAAGGACATACCAACTGGATATCAGGGGGACTTAAGGCTGCTGAGACCTAAAAAAAAATAGAAAGAAAGAAAGAAAACCAGCCTTGGCTCAAGCACCTATTTTGCATTGTCTTTCTAAGAATCTATTCTCTCCAGACCTCACCTCACAGTATCCCAGACCAACAAATGCCTGACTCTGGAAGTGCTGGGCAATGTCTGCTGTGGGGCAGAGGAGACAGGGCTGTATTCTCACAGAGCTGGAGAAGAAATGACTTTTCTCTTGTCCTACTTCCTGCTCGATGGTATCAACCCCTCCACCTCCCCAACCCCAAGGCTTCAAGCCAAAAAAAAAAACCAGTTACATTAAGTAGCAGCCACCTAGAAAATGATTTGGGACTTGGATCTGGCCCGTTGTTACTTAAAGCACCCCCCTCCACCCCGTAAATGAACTTAGACATGGAATACACAGCACTTTTATGAAGTGGCAGAGGAGCGTGGAAATGAAAAACAGCTGACATATCCACTTTTTCTAAGACATCGAAAAATGGGCTGCCAACAGAAAAATGAGGTTCGGCTAGGAAAAATGCAAAAAACGAGGATGTCTGGGGAAGGCATCCAAAACCACCCAGTCTTCAGTGAGTTGGAAAGACCCAGCTCTTCCCGGGTAATCACAGCGGGTGGGCAGGAGGAGCAGAGAGGGTGTGTGGTTGTAGGGTGAGGGCTTGTCAACAGCACTCACCTCTTATCAAGCAGGCACCTCCTCAACCCAGCCACAGGGACTCCAGGGAACAAGGAACCAACAAGCTAGGCGGCAGAGAGAGATGCCACCTACCTCCATCTTCCCAAAAGGAAGAACTTTCCACTCGGTAGGCATTCTGTAATGCTAAGCTGCTAGCCTCCTGTCACTTCTAATGCTTTAGCACTAATGATGATAATGATAATAAGAATGACAGTAGACTTATTTGTTTTTACTCTTTGTCAGCCAGCGAATTATACCCTGTTCATGCATTATTTCATTTTACATTTGCCACAATCCTATCCCCTTTTTACAAGTGAAGAAACTGATGCTCAGAGAAGCAACAGGCACATGTGAGACCAGAATTTGCACCCACATTGGCCTGACTCCAAAGCCATGTCTTTCCCTCAGGATAATCCTATGGTTTACTTTAGTAGTAGTAGTAGTAATAATAATAATGATGATAATGATAATAATAATAATAATACCTAACATTTTTTAGGTTTTTACTATGTTCTGGCTACTGTGCTAAGCATTTTCATGCATTATCTTGCCCTCTTAAT